AAAACAACATTACACTTAAACAAACTTTCGGACAGTGGACACTAAAAATTTAACAGGTTGATAAAATTAAAAATAAAAAGTGTAGACTAGAAATAATGAGTCACTCAACACAAAAGCGATTGCCGTACCAAAAAAAATACATGTGCGGCGGTGGAACACCATATAAATACGGGACATGAGTTTGACTACATATGGGATCTTTATATGTGGTATATCCCATCAATAAATAAATACGAATTCATGAAAATATAATTTTAAAAATAAATTGTATGTCATGACATGTATATAAAATTGTAAAATCTAAAGTCATAATTATTATAAACAATATTTTGTTTTCCTTGCGATGAGTTCAACCTTTTGTCTTCGCTAGAACTGCCACGAAAGGTTATCTAAATGATGACGGCAATTTAATGTGTATGACGTAATGAAAATGAAAATGAAAAAGATATGTAGTGCAAGTATGTCGCTACATACCTCCCCCTTATATAAAAAATGTATTGTCAGTCATCAAAAGTCGATAAGGTGTTGATTGTTGCATATTTCTATATCTACGAGTACCTTCACCTTAATCAAAACAAAATTTTAATATGACTCTGTATATGAAATTGATTGAAATTTTTAATTTAATTGTCAAAAATATGTCATCAGTAATGTCAGTATTTTCTATAAATAATGTTGTATTTTAGATCGTGTTCTGGATGAATTATCCATTCTTTGATTATCGAAATTGCCCCGTTGTTAAGTGTTTAGTAATTCTATGTTATCTAGCAGGTTCTTTCTATTATATAAAGAATACTGCCATTGATACAATTAAGAATTACCATACTATTAGGACAGTTAGTGTCCTAAATAGAAAAACATTAACGAAAAGAAGGCATTAATAGTTAAAAAATTCTACGATCTAATAAAAAGTAATGTTAATCATGACGTACAAATAGAAATATTTTTTGTTTTTTTTTTTTTTAAGTCTTTATTCTTTAAATATCAATGTGTAAATGTGCCTATTTGGTAAGTTAAAATTTCCTTTTCATTCAGTTATTTGTTTTTTATCAATGTGCAAAAAAAAATGTACCTATTTGATAAGTTATTTGTTTTTATTTAGTAATTACTATTATGCAGACAGGTTAAGGCAATTATGGGATCTTTATATGTGGTATATCCCATCAATAAATAAATACGAATTCATGAAAATATAATTTTAAAAATAAATTGTATGTCATGACATGTATATAAAATTGTAAAATCTAAAGTCATAATTATTATAAACAATATTTTGTTTCCCTCGCGATGAGTTCAACCTTTTGTCTTCGCTAGAACTGCCACGAAAGGTTATCTAAATGATGACGGCAATTTAATGTGTATGACGTAATGAAAATGAAAATGAAAAAGATATGTAGTGCAAGTATGTCGCTACACTACACGGAGATAAAAATTTTAGGAAAAGAAAACAAATACAAGAATAGGTTATTTCTGGAAATGTACTACATTAATAAAACTAAAAATACTATTAATTATAAATCTGACATAAACCAACTAAGCAACATTTATTGTAATATTCTAAATAAAATTTAAGTATCACTCTGTACAATATTAAAAATCATTTAGTTTTATCTCACTATAATTATTTCTAGTCTACACTTTTTATTTTTAATTTTATCAACCTGTTAAATTTTTAGTGTCCACTGTCCGAAAGTTTGTTTAAGTGTAATGTTGTTTTTATTTAAAATTTTATTCGATTGACTCAAATCCTGTAAGTAGTAATTTTAAATTATTTTATTAGTGTATTGTTTCATTTAAAAATCTTGTAGTTCGCTCCTGATGAAGCTATTAAACAATGGCGAAATATTGAGCAAGTAAGGAAAAGAGATTTATTTCTTAGGGCCGCTAACCTGATATTATCTTCACTTAAAAATAAATATTTTCCGGTCGAAAAAAGTATCTCCTTTTATATATATATATATATATATATATATATATATATATATATATATATATATATATATATATATATATATATATATTTTAATATTATTAATTTATGCTTTATATGCTTCTAATTATTGAATTTGTTTATCAGGAATTTATTGTATTCTGCAAAGCAATAGCCTTACTGTTTATAACCTATACTTATATATACTGTGCTTCCATAAATAGTTTATATTTTATTTTTTTATTTTCCTCAAAAAAAAATCATGAAGTAATACACCCTATAAAACATTATTCGCCTTCATAGCGGATAAATCAATAATACCTATATAAAATAATATAAGAGAGTCAAACAGATTGCATACATTTCATCCCTGAGAGAGACGCATACAGTCAAGAGACTGCTTCCTTTCCTGTAAAACCATGACATCAGTAATTGTTTATTGCTATATTTTTGTTAATTTCATAGCAAAAAATATAAGGAAAGCACTATTACCTTGTCAATACACAGGCGAAACTTTTATGAAGAATATTTTTTTTTCGTTTAGGCCTTCGTTTTTCGTCAAATGAAAGGTATATTTCTAAAAGAAGATTTTTTAACCAAATTTGTAGACAGCCAAAATAAGTTTTAATCTACACCATACTTATATTGAAAAATACATAGGTAATATTTTGTACTATTGTGGAATATTTTTCGGTTCCTTTGTCTTCAACTTCGCGCGTTAAAGTTTAGTTTGGTCTCGGAAGTAATTTTGTAGTATTTAGGCTCCACCCTTAAGTTGTAATTTTTATACCTACTAAACTACCGTTGCCCCGCAGGTCTTTTAGTTTGTAATGTAAATTTTCCTCTTAATCCAAAAAAGACAAACAAAAAAGCCATGTCACATACAGTGTAATATTAAAAATTTAAAAATAGTATATTATGTACCAATGGACTAAACTTTTACTTTTAATCCCGCCTTTTTGTCGTAAAAATTTTTACCAGTGACATCCGTACCGGGTTTGAACTGAATAGTTTTGAAGAAAAATATGATACGCCACTGCTTTTTTTAAAAACCAACATTATCTTTAAAATCCTTATTTATTTTGGAGCAAATTTGGTTTATAGATGTACGACGTACCCTTTTTGCGCAAGACAATAATAAACCAACAACTTTTTTTAAGTTTATTGAAACTGCTTTTGATATTTTGTTGAAATTTGGTAGGAACCCACCATGAGTGGAAACACTTTTTCTTGGGTAAAATTTCATAAAAATATCTAGACTGATAAGAAACACTAAAATAGTTATTTTTTTTTTAAACTATAACACCCTGTAACTCAAAAATTAAGAGGTTTACGACATATGTTGATATTAACTTTTCTTCTTAAAATCACCCAAGGATTCACACCCTTAAGTATCGGCACTCAATTAATAAATACCCTGTAATAATTGATATTACTCAAGAACTGCTGAACGTGGGTAACCATGAGAGAATTTTTCGATTCCTTTGTATCAATTTTGCGCATTAGAGTTTAGAATATGTATCCCTCGTATCTACTTGCAATTGTTAAAATTATGAATGAATGCTGATTTTGCTTAGTCTCGGAAGTAATTTTGTAGTATTTAGGCTCCACCCTTAAGTTGTAATTTTTATACCTACTAAACTACCGTTGCCCTGCAGGTCTTTCAGTTTGTAATGTAAATTTTCCTCTTAAACATTAAAATTAAAGCTCAGTACTAAGTAATTGCTTTATAAATTTATGAAAGGGGGTGTTAAATATCTCAAGATCATTATGAGTGTTGGCTAATCTTAACATTCTTGGAATACAGTTGCTAACAGTATGGTTTAAACAATAAAAAGGTACATAAAATGTTTGTTGCTGTCGAGTTGAGCGCGTTGGAACATAAAGATTTATTTTTGTTAGAAGTTCAGTACAGCTGCATCTGCCATTGATAATTTTGAAAAGTAATGTCAGGTCTCTCTGTTTCCTCCTAGTTTCCAAAGAGGGGATGTTTAGAAAATTATCTATCAAATCATACTCGCAAAGGACACCCAATTTATAGGCTATGTATCTAAGGGTCGATTCCACCGTTGTGTTAAACGGAGATTAAAATGACATTGTTAATGTAAAAATGTCATTTTAAACTTCGTTTAACATAACGGTGGAATCGGTCCTAAGAAATTTATGTTGCACATTTTCTATGTTTCTGCTGTGCGTTATGTAATGTGGAGACCAGACAGAAGAGCAATAATCTAGGTGAGGTCGGACTAGTGAACAATAAAGGACTTTAATTGCAGTTGTGTCAGTAAAATCATGTGTTAGCCTTTTGATAAAACCTAACATTTTCATGGATTTATGGATAGCCTTAGGTATGTGTTGATTGAAGCTTAAAGTGGGATCTAGAATAACTCCAAGGTCTTTAATTTGATTAACAGGCTCCAAGATATGACCATTTAAGTTAGTAGCTTTTTTAAAACCAGATAACAGTACTTCCAGCAAAATAAGTATTAAAAAATTGCAGCTTACGTGATAGCAACTTATCTCTACTGTATAGAACTGGACCATTGAACTATAAACATTAACGTGCAACGACTATTATCAAACTGAAATTGTAACGTCAAGATCATCGACTTGTATAGCTCCCTTAATCGTACTTTTTTCATGAAAACTGCAAGGTTGATGGGTGACATTTTACTTCGTTTAGTAGTATATTTCCTATAATAGCCTCAGGCTACTGCGGAATGCAGGATAACAATATTATTAATAGAAATGTTGTACTAAAAGGCAATATTAGCCCAAATAAAAAAAAATACAGAAATCCTGAATTTAACCTTAGCTATTTCCAAGAATTACCAATGTTTTGTATATCGTACCACACTGGATATTTTACCTGAGTGACCCAGAGTTATGTTATGTTGAGAATGGGGTGTTAATACACTGCGACCTAAAAGATCTATTGTGCCCCCTTCTGTCGCCACTGCACTAAGGAAATGTCTCAATGCCTATAGCGACCCTTCCAATCCTGGGTTACTTAAGTGTTTTTATTAGTATAGTTTATTTACTTGATTCAAATTATGTCTTAGAAACTTACCAGTTCTTTTACTTGAAGCATTTATCTCGATTACATTAAAACCCAATTCTTTACAAACGGCATAGACTGCAGAGCTTTTTCCACTACCACAAGGCCCTGCTAATACAATAATTTTTCCAGGTAACCTTGTGCTATCCTTGCTATCACAATCTGTATTTTCAAATTCTGATTCACTTGTATTACTGCATCTTCCCTTTCTAGAATTGATTTCTTGGTTAAAGTTTTTCCAACCATTCATCCACTTTTTCAAATTTCTGATAGCTTGTGGGTTTCCAATTATGTCATCACAACATTTGGGCTTATACTTTTCGGTCCACATGGTATATTCAACTGATTCTGATTCTATTTGATTAAGCTGCTTGGGATCTTTCTGTGTATTCTTTTTCCTTTTTCGTCCATGCTTTCGTTTTTCTGTATTTTTGGTTTCACTTTCATTATCAAGTGTATGTCCACTTTTTGTATGTATTTGCTTAAATGATTTATATACAGGATAATAAGGATTTTCAGATTTAATTTTGTTTAGTAATATCTTTAGTTTATCAACTTTTTTAACTTCTTTGTCTATATTTATATTTCGTATTATGTGACATTTAGTTATTTTTTGACAGTTTAAGTCATTATAGCAAACCTTTAGTGGTGAAAATGTAGTCATGTTTAGTTCTGGTTCAGTTAAGTTCCAAAAATGATTGTCAGATTTTTGTTGAATATGCTGTGTAGTGGGAAACACATCTAACTGTTCGGCAAAACTAAAATACAATTTTTAAAAAATGAAGTTTGAAATAAAGTTTATTAAAATTATTTAATAATGAATTACCTGTTTTGTTTTCCAATTGCTTTTTTTAATGAAGTAGGAATACCACTCAATAGGAATTGTTTTCTAGCTTCTACAACAGAGGGATCTTCTCTTGGTTTTGGAACAGCTTTCATAAATACAGGTGCCATTTTAACACATCTTTCTTCTGTTTTTTTATCAATATCTTCTTCACTTTCAGAAGATAAATTAATTTCATTTTCCTGTGAATCTAAAATATGTTATAATTTTCACATGCTGTTAAAAACAAAGCATTTTTTGACTGCATAATAAAATAAGACGGTGCTATACAAATTCATATACTAATTCATTACTAATTCATTAATTGCCTCATTCACTGATTCATTCATTTATTTATTGAACAACATAGGGAAATCCCAAGTGCAATAAAAAATATACAAAAATTATTTAAAAGATAATACATTCATACATACAAGAAAGTAAAGTAAGCAATAAGTCACTTTCCAACTGTTTGGAAGGGTATAAAATCTACAATTACTAACCGATTGTAAGAAAACTTATTTACAATATTAACAAATTACTACACAGGAGTACTTAACTAGATTAACTAGTGTATGAAACAAAATACAACTTATAGGAGACCTAACCACTATATGTTCGGCCTTTTCATAATTTTATTTCAGATATTTATTAGGAAGGTTATGTTTATGTTTATATTTGTTTATGATCAAATCCCTATTTTTTTTTTTTCGGAGTTGCTTTACCGCGACCCATTTTCAATAACGAATAAAAAAAAATTACGTTAAAAACTGTCACAAAGATACTGTTACACTTTCAATAACTTAAAACGTCAACGTTTCATTATGTGCATCAAACACGTAAAACATTCTAAACGTCAAAAATTCCAAAGCCAACAAAATAGTTAGTGTTTATTATGTAGGTCAAACACGTAAAAAATTCTAAACTGTTTTTTAAAGAAATTAAGATCATGGTGCATCATACTCTCACAAACTTCAACCTTAAGTTTCTTAATATATAACAGAAATAAAATTATAAAAAGGCTGAACATATAGTGGTTAGGACTCGTATTAAATCATTAGTACATTCAAAATCATAATACCAATAGATATACAATCTTCAGCATATTTAATTTGATTTTTAGTCCTCAAGTCTCTGTTGCCATTTCCATCCATATTCACTTTTATTTTCATTTTCCAAGACCTCAAGATTCGTGGAGTAAAATTCATGCTTTCCTGACTTGATTCATCTAAAACATTAATTGATTCTCTTGTTTCCTTCTTTTTCTTTTGTTTACCTTTTGGAAATGTGTCTTTCATGTTACTATAAGAATTTTCAATATTTTTTTCTGAAATTTTATCATCTTTATGTTTAGTGTGAATATTTTTGTTTTTAGTATTTATTTTATAACTTTCATTGCATTTATTACTTTTAGTTTTACTTTTATCTTTTACTGAATCATTCTCTTCTCTTTTTATATTATTTAACTGCTCTGATTTTATAAATGATAATATATTTCCTTTATTGTATCTGACAGGTGTCTGATTATTTTCAAGTTCTTTATATTGATTTTTAGCCTTTTTCACTGTTTTTATTGAATTGGTATTCTTTATATCTATCTCTACATTTTTTTTCTTAGCGAAATCTCTTTTTTTATTCTTATTGCTTTCTATAATTTCATCTCGCTCATCAAAATCACTATCTTCACTACTACTAGATAACTTCCTTATCCTACTTTTAACAAATTTTAGTGTTAAGCTTTTTTTTGTTTCTTCTTCTTCAACATTTAAAAGGTTTTTCAATCTTCTTGCTCTCTTACTCAATTTGTGTTCAATAATTTCATCCTTTTCTTCTTCAAATCTTTTTCGTTTAATAGCGCCTTTTTTATCAGACCAATTAGAGAAAATATGTCTTCTAGATGCAAGTTTTGCTTTGTTATCGATATTATCAATATTATTTGTGTCTTTATCTAATTCTTTACCAGGTGAATTTAAACCTATGCTTCGGTTTCTTCTTTCCATCATAAACTGAAAGGCATCTCTTTTGGGTATTGAAGCACTGTTTTTAGGTGTGTTTTCTTTCATAGGGGTAGGTGGAATTTCTTTAATAACCCTTCCAGAAAAGTCAACATCCAAATTTACATTCTTTGATTCAGGAGATTTACTAGGAGATATAAGTTTTAAATTAGTTGATAATAATTCTGTTACATCTCTAACTGCCGGATCAGAAACTTTTCTTTTCTTTTTCCTTTTTCGTTTCCACTTCTTTAGGCCTACATTTTCGTCTATGTCTACATTTAAGACGTTTTCTGTTAAATCAGCATTTTTCACAGATTTTAGTATTTCGTCAGAATTTTTCACTTGTAACATTGTAGTTGGGGTTGAAAAATGGCCTTTTAGATGTTTCATTATTTAAATTTCCAAATTATAAAAGTGTATGTAATTTCGCTTTATTTTCATAATAGCTGAGCGCCAAAATTTAAGAATAACAAAATAAGGTTATGTCACAGAACAGAGTGCGTTTAGTATCATTGCGTTCGTTTTGCCGTTCCTTTAACTCCTTTAACACTTTTAACTCCAAACGACTCTTTTAGCGTTCGGTTTAGTCCGATTAGTGACAGTTTAACACGCTTAAATGTCATTTAAAAGCACCCTAAAATTTGTCCAAAGATATCGGATAAATAGATACGCCTTGTATACATTACACTTGTCCGCAACTTTTTTTTGACAGTACGCTCTTCCTATGTTGTCAGATCTCTTTCATCAAATATCAAACATTAAATTTTTATTAAAAAAATTACTATTACCTTTAATACAATGTAATAAAAAAAGGAAATAAAGAATTGAAAGCATCAATATGAGTTTTTATTAATTGCAATCACTTAAAGACTTTTATTTAGCTATTTTTACATGTGTTTCATATGTGAATATTAAACATTCTGGTATATATCTTTTAAGTTTGGCAACCTAAGACATTTTGCTGATGTTATCAAAGTGACAGATCAAATTTTATTGTGATTTTTGTGTTTTTTTGTAGTTTTCAAGAATAATTTAAACCTTGAACTTTTTAATAAGGACTTTTACGATGGGGAGGAAATGTATAGCGTGCGGAAATACGCAGAATAAGAATGTTATTCGATAATTTCATAAGTAAGATTATGTTAGCATAGACGTAGGCATATACGGGGAATAAGGCTTAATTTATTTAACAGTGTAAAAGTATTTAGCACTAGCATTGTTTATTTAAATAATAATGTTCTATATTTTCTGATCAGGTTTCCTAGAGAAATTATTCAACGTAGAATTTGGCTGCAAAATCTATGCTTGGTGGAGGAAGACATTATGAAAATGAAAGAAGCCTTAATATGTTCTGACCATTTTTGCATGGCAGACATTTATGAAAATTTAAGTGGTAGACACATCTTAAAATATAATGCCATACCTATCAAGTAAGTACAATGCGCAAATATGGGGTAATTTTGTTGATTTCTCCTTAAATTTGTGTGTTTTTTAATGGACTGTATGAATAGATTTTACTGGTTTTGGGTATTCAAACTTCGACACCACTTTTAATAGAGTTTATTACAATATTATTCGGTATCCAACAAAAGAACAAGTTTTTGATACGAAACACAGGCACAAACAATGCTAGAATACGTCTAGTATGAGGCTACTTGCTTTTCTAACTGTTTTACTTAATAACACCCCGAGATAATAAGTTTTAATTCACTTTTTCCGAGAAATAAGTGCCGGCCGGCTAACGCCCACAAAGTGCGAGAAAACTCACACACCACAAGTAGTACATCCTTCTCGTCTTGAGTCAAGATTGCTTCTGTTTCTGTTTTAAACTTTAAAAACAATCTCCGAGATTGCAAAGTTTATGAGAGGAGGTAAAAAATAAGAGGGAATTGCCAGGGTTGGTTGGAGTTACGTCATGAACTACCAATAGTACCAATCAAACATAAATGATGTTGGTTGCATAATGTTAGATGCGGTTTAGCAGTTAATTATATAATAAGGGGCGAGAGGAACAAATATATTTAAATTCGGTGTCTAGCGGCGTAGGGGAAAGAGGAGTAAAATAATTGATGTATTCTGGCGGAGAATAATGTTAAGTTATTTTCCAACAGACAGTATTTATTATGGGTATTTTTATAATATGTAAGCTCTAAAATTATACAGTAGTAATGAATAAAAATTTAGATTTTATTCTTACTTACAAGCTTTCTCAGGACCATTTGGAACTTTTTCTTAGTGCAGTTCGTAACAGATGTGGCTTCAATAACAATCCCACATGCAGATTGTTTCAAAATTGTTATAAAAAATTATTAATTCATAATGAAGTGAAGTCAAATAAAACTGCCAATGCAATTGCTTTAGATGGCACCAGCATCTTGGATTGTAGCAAAATTGCGTTAAATTTAAAATGTTACGAATCAGACACTTCTGAAGAAAATTTGGAATTTACAAATGAGCTTCGTGACCATGAATATCTATCTATATATTTTCTGAGCGAATACATTCAGGATGTAGTTGCCTACATTTCTGGTTTTATAGTAAAATCCTTCAAGAACAAGATTCACTGCAAACAGTGTTTTGCGATTTTAGAAGGAGATTACAGTTTATCAAAACTGCAAAATCAAAAAAACTTACAGAAAATTACAAAAAGCTTCTAGATTTGTAGTTACTGTTTGTAGTGAAGCTGAAAAGTGTATAAAAACAGTTTCAATGAACATACACAGTAATAATATTATTAACATTGCCAATATAAAATGTAAATTAGTAAATAGTTCTATGCGATATTTGCCTTCAAATATTTTTGATGTTTTTTCTAACCATATTTTTGATTTTGAACCACTTAATGACCATTGCATTACTGTCACGAAGCTCATTTTAGATAAATATACAGGGTGTCCTTTAAAATGTGTCCCAAAATTCTCAGGCAGATTCCTTAACCAAAAAATGGAAAAAAAGTTCATATAGACCTATGTCCTAAAGTGCCCCCTAAGCGAGCAACAGCCTCTCGAAATCATTTTTTTTATTTTGATTTTTTGAATTTTCTTAAAAATGGAAACAAATAAAAGAACCAAATTTTGGCTGTTAAATATGATCAATAATAGTGACCTTTTGACACCTTCAAAAAGAAATTATTTCGTCAGGGGTGTACTTGGGAATTTTTTGAAAATTTTGATTATTCATAACTTTTTTGTGTTTTTGGTAATGACTTATCCATATTTTTTTTTACATTCTACATTGAAAACTACGTCAAAAAGGAATACTTGTTTGATCTCGATTGGAGCAGCCGTTTCCGAGAAAACATAATCCAAAGATATTCGTGCAGTTTAGGTTAATTTTCAATTTTGGCTATTGTAGCCAAAAAGTTGGAAATCGAGGAACACGGCTTACATGTCCCTATCCTTACTTTTAAAGGTCTATTCAGTGGCAAAAAATATTAGTTGATACAGGGTGATCAAAAATCGGATGTGATTTTGGATTTTTGATCACCCTGTATCAAATAATATGTATTTTATGTCACTGAATAGACCTTAAAAAGTTAGGATAGGGACTGTAAGCCGTTTTCCTCGATTTCCAACTGTTTGGCTACAACAGCCACCTGAATTTGAAAAAATGTGATTTTTGAGTAGCTGTAGATCCTTTACTATTCATATTAGATAACAAGTGTGATATATCATTGAAATCAGATTATCGAGCAGATTCTAAAAATATAAAAATATACAGGGTGTTCCATTTAAAAAACATAACTTTGATTTGGCACGGCCTTATGAAACACCCTGTCACATCGTAACTAATTTTAAAATGTGAAGCTTAAAGCTGCCTACTTTTATTATAACAGATCTACAGAGCTTCCTCACACTAATCAACCACCCTGTATACTATTTTTAGCTCTCTAAATAAAATTTAAAAATTTAGTTCCCATTTATTTATTATGAAGACCATAAGGTTTGTATTTAGCTGTTTAGAATAAAAAAGTAAAAATATGTATTTTTTTGGCGTTTTTGTGTTTCATGGATAATTTTTTTCGCTCACTGATAAAAATGTTTCTTCAGTTAAACATTATTTCTAAAAGTGTTCTGGTGCGATTCGTTGTATTATTATTTTGTTTAAAATGGCTCACAATAACTACAATAATGATTACACATTCGGCGAAATGACGGACATGCACTTATGTTTTGGACTCGCTTCTGGAAATGCCAATGAAGCTCGCAGACTTTATCAGGAGCGCTTTCCAAATAGGCATCTTCCATGCGCTAAGACGTTTTCTAGAATTGACGATAGACTTCGGGAAACTGGTACATTTAAGAAAAACTCTAGTAACAGTGGAAGACAAAATTATGTGAGAACTCCTGCTTTGGAAGAAGCAATTTTGGATAGGGTAGCTGAAACCCCATCGACAAGTACCAGAAAAATAGCAAATGGTAAGTAATTACTTATTTATTATTTTAGCTACCCCGTACCTTATCGTATAAAACTAGTTTTTTTACTTGTTATTGCTTCTCTTACATTTCACGACTTTTCGTATCGAAAAGAGTTGCGTTATGCAGAAAAAATCTGATTTCCCAAATCAATGGATTCTCTTTCTTAACTATTCACTACACAGATTCTCTCATTTAATTTCAGAAGTGGGAGTCGGACGTAACACGGTATGGAAAGTTTTGCGTGAACAACAATTGTACCCTTACCACATTCAAAAAGTTCAGGCACTTAAAGCTACTGATTATGAGCCGCGAGTTATCTTTTCTGAATGGTTTCTTGGAAGATGTAATCAAGATGCAATGTTTCTTAATAAAGTGCTATTTACCGATGAAGCTGGTTTCACTAGAGATGGTATAATAAATTTTCGAAATATGCATGAATGGGCTGAAGATAACCCTCACGCGGTTGTTGAACGTCACCACCAGGATAAATTTTCAATAAACGTCTGGGCTGGAGTTATTGATAATTACCTTATTGGACCATTTGTTTTGCCGAATAGGTTAAATGGAGCAGCATACAGGCTTTTTTTGGAAAATAACTTACATGAGCTTCTTGATAATATTCCGATTCAAATCAGACATAACATGTGGTTTATGCATGATGGAGCTCCACCACATTACAGCCTTGAAGCTAGACAGCACCTTAACGAAAGATTTGAGGGTAGAGTAATTGGCAGAGGTTGTCCTGTTAACTGGCCACCTCGTTCACCAGATCTAAATCCAATGGATTTTTTTGTTTGGGGTTATTTAAAATCATTGGTTTATTCCAGTCCTGTTGAAACAGTTGAAGAATTGGAAGAACGAGTTTTTCATCAATGCGAAGTTCTTAGGAATAATCCTGAAGTATTTTTTCGTGTAAGACAGTCTATGATGCGACGGTTGCGCTTGTGTGTGGAAACCAATGGTCGCCACATTGAGCATCTGCTTTAATTTTTTTTTGATTTGTTTTTTAGAATAAATATTTTTTTAAACCGTTTCTTATTATTAAATAAAAATAGTCCCACCACGACATTTGAACTACAATTATTTAGAGAGAGCTAAAAAAGTTATTTTTATT